CAACGAAGAACAGAAGCGAAAGAAGGAAAACGACGGTGGCATCAAGTGGCATCCATCTCGATGCATATCAGACGAAGGTACGACTGACAATAAAGTTACAAAAGTTTTAGAAGTGGAGGAGAAGAATGGGGGTAAGGAAGAGTCATTTGAAGGGATAAAGAAGAAAAGAAAAATTGCTGAGATCAACGGTAAGGATAGCAGAGATGAAGATGCTGGCCTTATGCCACAGGACAAAAATGTGGCAGGGCTTACTAATGGAACTTTGGAAGTCAAGAATGAAGAAGTACCAGGTAAGAAGAAAAAACAAAAGAAGAAAAATAATAAACTATCAGAAAAAAGTAAAGTTGAAAAGGATGAAACTTCAGCAGGACCTATTATAGGGTCAGATTTAAGCACAAAAACACTGAAGAAAAAAGGAAAAGAACCCTTAGAAAAAAAGGAGAGTTTAGAAATAAGTACAGTTTCTGAGGGAAGCACTAAAAATCCATGTGTAAATGGAAGTTTGCCAGAAATTCCTTTAGCTGGGGATGAAGAAACTGTAATTAAAACTAAAAAGAAGAGAAAAAAGAAGAAATCTGTAGCAGGAAACACTGTTCCTACAGAACTTACTAAAAAATCAAATATAGATGAAAGCCAGCATGAAATTCCTGCTGCTGGGAATGAACAAACATCAAAGAAGACAAAGAAGCAGAAGAAATTGGAGAGAAAGGCTTTAGAAAATAACCCAGAGTCTGCAAATCATACTGCAGAGTCTAGTGTGAAAGGGAATGTAAAGAACATTCCTGAAGGCTGCAATACTGAAACACCAAACAAGAGTAAAAAGCAAAAGAAAAAAGAAAAGAAGGTTTTAAACAGTTTAACCACAGAAACTAAAGATACCAGTAACACTAGTGTACAAATAGAATCAACTTCAGAAAATTCTTCAAAAGGAGAGCACAAGAAATCTGAAAAAATAAAAGCTAAAACAAAGAAAATGACAGTTGAACCACCTAAAGAAGAAGAGCAAGCCACTACTAGCAAAGAACGGTCAGTTACTAAGAAAGGAAAGAAAAAGAAAAAGAAGAATCAGGAGTTAAAAGATGAGGAGGAGGAAAAAGCTTTCTATGAAAAAGACCCCGAGTTTACATCAGACTTAGGTTCATTACTGAAGGAGCTCAACTTTGACCAGTTTGATCCTAGGGATTTCGAGGAGGAAGAGGATGACAGTGACAACGACATGGCAAGAGAGGTAGAAGATCTTTCCGAGGAAGAAATGTCGGACTATGAAGAAGAGAGTGAGAACAAAAGCTCAGTAGGCAAAGTGCAGGATGATGGGGATATTGCCGATGATGAGAGCGAAGAAGAGGTAGAAAACAAGAAAAAAAAGAACAAATTGGAAAAGAAGAAGAAGGAGGCTATCCCAGAGCCAAGCCCAGGAAACAAAAAGTTGGACAAGAAGGTTTTGAAGGAAATGCTTAAGAAAGACAAAAAGGTGGTAACTTCAGAACCTGAACCTGAGAAGGAACAACCCAAACTGAGTGCTGCTGAAGCTCTCAAGCAGAAGATGACTGTTCAGCTCAATGCTGCAAGATTCAGGTAATTAAATCATTCAGTCTCTAAAAGTTAAATATTAGGCATCGATAGCAAATAAATGACAGTTCTTCTCAAGTGTGTTTTGTACTGTATATTTTTCACGTTCAAACTTATAGCTAGCAAGATTCAGGTAACTAAGTCATGCAATCTGTAGAAGTAAATTATTAGGCATTGATAGCAAATGAACGACTTTGTACTGTATATTCAGGGCAGCAATTTTCTGTCTGTTCATTTACATGCTTAAATGTTTTACTCCCCAGTGTGCTATAATGTAGCTAAGGAAGATAGAAAGATAAAACAGCAGATATATAGCAACATTTAAAACAAATAATCCTGAATCCCAGAATATGAATTAATTATTTAATGAGGATTACAGTAATAACTATTTCAAGAATGCCATCACATATATATGCTTTTTCCCCCACACAACAGAATGGTGAACGAGGAGCTGTACACGACAACGAGTAAAAATGCAATGGCCATGTTTAAGAAGGACCCTGATGCATTTAGGTCTTACCACTTGGGCTACCAGAATCAGGTGGAGCAGTGGCCTATCAACCCCCTTAATATTATCATTAATTGGCTGAAGAAACAGTAGGTGTCTTTTTCATTATTTCTTCTTTTAAAGTTTGTTGTCATTGTTCTCTGTGATTGTGATGTTGATTTTGGTATTTTTGAAGAATGTTATTTGGACTGCATTGATAACTTCTTTATTATTATAGTGCTTCATAATTTATGATTTTCTTGTTGCGGTTTTGATTACTGCATTGATAACTCCTTCATCATTGCAGTGTTTTATATTATCTTATTTTTTGATGGTTGTAGAATTGAAAATTAATTGGAGTTTTCTGTACTTTAACCCTTACAAGGCAAAAAAAAAGGAAGAACTTCAAAATCTTTTTAATGTTGTTGTTGTTATTATTATATTATATTTATTCCTTTTTATGATAAAAGAACATATAGGGAAAAACAAAGAAACAACTCAACTTAGATTTCTTCTGAAAAGAATCAACTAACGTATGTTAGCCATGGTAATCCTCAAATGTCACTTTTGACAATTTTGTCTCAGTCTCATTTGAATTGCCATTATACTACTTTCCTGTGATTGCTACCAGAGGCCTCTTTGTACCCTCCCCCATTTCTGTGTCAAATACAGGATGGAATGTTGGGTTACTGGAGTTTAAGGGCAGGTTGGGAAGGGCTTGGAAAAGTGACTAAACAGCTTATTCCTATCTCTGAGCATTAAATATTCTTGGCAAGTGCTCTAGGTGACTTCTAACAGTAATCATAGCAAATTTTAGTGCACTTTAGGTTCATATGAGCTTGGGGTTAACAGAAATTAACCTTTTCATTATTCAATATCATCTTTGACCCAATGTTTATATTTTTGGAGAAATAGTAGAATTAAGGAGATTGACAGACATGGTTTCCTTATAAAGTTTGCACAATTATCCACATATGATTAATTGATTTTCCCTTCCCTCTCTCCCTCCTTTCTCCAGACCTAGGGAATGGGTTGTTGCTGACTTCGGATGTGGTGAAGCTAGGCTCTCCATGAGCGTCCCGCAGAAAAAGGTCCACTCCTTTGACCTGGTGGCTGCCAACAGTAGGGTCACCGCCTGCGACATGGCTCACACGCCCCTGAAGTCCGGGTCCGTGGATGTGGTGGTTTTCTGCCTGTCACTTATGGGCACGAATATCAAGGATTTTGTCACCGAGGCCAATAGGGTGTTGAGGCATGGGTATGTATGGCAGTGTTAGAATATCCTTTACTTACTTTATTCCTTCTCTTTTTCTTTTTAGTCTATTTTATTTTCAAGTTTTATATGCATAGAAGTTGAGGATATTTCTTAAAGAACACTTTTTTTTTCTGGCATTAGTCACATTTAAAGGCTTCTGATAATAGAAAGGTAATTGAGAAGGAATAGAGAAGCTGAATATACAGCTTTTTGCCCTTCTCTCTCTCTCTCTCTCTCTCTCTCTCTCTCTCTCTCTCTCTCTCTCTCTCTCTCTCTCTCTCTCTCTCTCTCTCTCTCTCTCTCTCTCTCTCTCTCTCTCTCTCTCTCTGTGTCACTGAAATTAATGTTTTCTTCTCTCCTTCCCAGTGGTGTCATGAAAGTAGCCGAAGTAGAGAGCCGATTTACCAACCTTAATGATTTCCTGTCATGTGTGACACGCCTCGGATTCCACTGCACCCACAAAGACGTCCAGCAAAAGTACTTCTATATGTTCGACTTCAAGAAGAACCGTGACTGCAAGAAAGCCATGGAGGTGCCCGAGATTGTACTAAAACCATGCATGTACAAGAAGAGATAGGGGATGCTGCATTTTGTTTTTATAGAGTTATCTTATGTATGCAATTTTTTTTGTTGTGGCTTATTCTTTTTTTCTTTTTTCTTTTTTTTAATATGGAAAATATTGGGGTAGATGAATTTACACTTGTTGAAACTGATGTACTTTAAGCAGTATGAACATGGTTGGTTTTTTAGAAAATTAAATAATAATTTATTTAATTTCATGTTTGTTTATATATGGTATATGTAAGTGAACTGCAAATTACCATATTTGTCAACATCAGAAATAAGTAATAAAATCAAATGAATAAAAAGAAAAAGTATTCAAAAAGATCATCCTTATAACCCTACCTACAGTTTGTAGAGAAATCCTCATTTTATATCTTAGATTTTTTTTATAAATCAGCTTTTTGATATTTATGTCCTTAAGTAATGAATAAGATTCCTCTTTCATTTTACAAACATGAATGCTGTTCTGCTGTTACCATGGATTATACAAATGCAGGGATCTTGCATTAAACTCAAAACTTTAGTAGAATGTACTTAAGGTGCAAAAGTTATAATGTCTTACTCAGTATTTCAAGTCAGAATGTGTTTGTCTTTAGTGCTTAATATATGGAAAATTTATTTTGATAGGGCTAACTTAAGGCATTTCAATAAATTCTCGTCTCAGAACATCTACAAGGTATATGTAGTAGAAGAGAAATCCTCATAGCTTTTATGAAGAAAAGACATACTTGATGCCTATCTCTGCTTTATTAACTCTCACAGTTTCCTAATTCAAAAGTTAAAATAAAAAATTTTGATTGCAGAGAAGTCATAAATTCAATGATTAATTGAAGAATAATAGTACACAATTATTATTTGCTCCCTCTCCTCCTCCTATCCTATTTCAGTCTCCGTCTTAGGTATTTAAATATTCATTACTATATCCCCACAATCCCGAAGATATTTATAGTTCCCTCTACAGAATTTCTAAATATCTGTCCTACTCCTCCTTTCCAACACATCTTCACTTTTCTTCACATTTTCTTTGCTCAATAATTACAGTAATTTGGGACTTCAGTATTTACCTTATACTATATACTTATATTAAAGCAAGATAACAGCCATCATTAGGTTAAATAATTAGGCTTTATATGTTTTATTATATGAATATTTATTAAGAAATGATTTACAATAATACCACTGGTTTAGAAAATAACACACTTTCTGTGAACATCAATATATTACATAGTACTCAAGTACCTAAGGAAATAAAATAACAATATTGTCATCCCTTATCCTTTACATGTCAGAGGGAAAAAAATTAACATCAACATAAATATCATTCACACTTTTATAAATCTGTCTCTCTCTTTCTTGCCTCATTTAAGGGAATTTATTTTCACCTTTACGACTAAGTACCGAGGTCGCGTTGGCACAATGGGAGGTAGTGCTTCTTTTTCTCTTCCTTGTGTGGACTAGAACTGAAGCTTCTTTGCTAAGGAACCTGAAAATAAAAATAACTCCAGGTTACTCCAAGACTTTGAATTGAATTTGTAAAAGTTATCTACAGTACAAGATCAGCAAAAAAAAAAAAAAGTATGGTTATCCCTAAAATACAAATGAGAGAATTCTATTTTTGTATCTTAAATGTAATAATAATCATACAGAGATTGTGACTAGTAAAAAAAAAAAGGCATACCTCCAAAGCCAGACTCTTCAATAATCTTTCTCTTGAGGGACGGTTTTTCTGCCTCACTTCTCTGTCTAATGGTTGGTGGCAGAGGAAGAAGAGGTCCTGGTGTCGGGACAGGCTTATTGCTGGAAAGGAAAGGTGATCTAGAGTAATTCTAATGTTTACAGTAATTTCTTAAATCAAACACAATTCAAATAGATGAAGGTAATGCTTGCAAGAAAATAATCTAATTCAAACATATCAAACAATTACATTTGCAGAATTATTCTCACATTATTAAAAAAATGAATAAAAATCTATTTAAAAAAACGTAGAAGGATAAAAAATATATGTAAATATGCACATTAAATAACATCCTAACATGCACTGATATTTACCTGAAATACTCCATCTTAAGAGCCTCAGTACAGCTGCATCGTTTCATAGGATTGATAGTGAGCAAAGACCCCAAGAGCTGGAGAAGGTCATCACTAGCAGCAGGAAAGAGGTCTCGCAGCGGGGAACCCTCGAAGTGCTTGAAGGATACGTAGTCGGGAAGTTTTGTCATGTCCTGGAAAGAGGGTCGTGAACTATACAGATATCACTGGAACTCTTGTTATTACTCTTGAGCATGAGATTGAGTGGGTTAAGATGATGCATATGTCAAAAATAATAGGATAAATAAAAGTGACACAAAGATTAATGAAGACTAGCAAAAATTCAGAATAATGTAGGGTCTTTTCTTCCTTCTTCAATAGCTTAAATTTGAACATTCTTATTTATTCATTTAATATTCAAAGAAATATTTCCAGAACTACACAAGAAACTACTAAACCTCTCACCACACACACGTCAAAAATATTTCTTATATCAAATAACTCATAATTGGATTAAGACCAATATATCAAAATACAGTAATTAACCCTTTGCCGTCGGGTGGCATAAACGTATATGCCATGGCATGCCTGTCCTGTTTTCCGAGGGCATGCACATGCTGTGGTGCCAACACAATCCCCCAGCAATGGGGCCCGGGCCACTATGAATACAGCCCAGGAGAGAGGGCTTTCGCATCAGGAAACCACCCGGCAGCAAAGGATTAAAATCACCACATTCTGAAACCACCTAAAGACAAAAATTCTCAACAACAAACCGGCCAGTCATCGTCACCAGGAGTCCCTAGGGCAGTGAAGATCCTGGTAAGCTGGTCTAGATCAGAGTCACCCGGGAAGTAGGGACAGCGGACCAACATCTCCGCCAGGATACAGCCAATCGCCCACATGTCTACCCCCGTGCCGTAGGATCTTGCCCCAAACAGCAACTCTGGACTCCTACAATACAGACAGATATGTTAAGTTTCAGGTGTTGTAAAATTTAGTCAAGATATCATTCTATGTTTTGAGGGTGCTTAACTTTATCACCCAAGCAGGGTTTTTTTTTATCCTCTATCCTTTGATAACTATTAAAATTTAAGGTAAAGTTTGGAGAGGCTGGGATACATAAGTCTATGCAGCTCTATGCCTCGGCAATTAAGTTCTTTCTATCAATCCTATCAAATTAACACAAGAATGCACAACTTCATCAACTTTAAAAACATGGCTTGATCAAGTCTTGCAAAACAGAAAAATAAAATCAAAACATCACTAGAACCAAAACAAATATTAAGAATAATGGGCCCCAAATTTCACTATTAACTATCTGTGCAATACTTACCTGTACCATCTTGTAACTACTTGATGTGAATACTGTCTGTTGGGAGAGCCGAAGAATCTTGCCAGACCAAAATCTCCTATTTTAAGTATGCCATCTGAATTGACTAGCAGGTTGTTTGGTTTCAGATCCTGCAATTATATGCAAAGGTGGAAGAGGAGGGCAAAGTGAAAAAAAATAAGAGTACATTAACCATCATTTCAACTTCAAATATGAATTACATAATAACACAATATAAACAAAATAATAAAACACTTTCAAAGGAAACAGTGTAAGTTTCCTCAGAAATAAATTTTTATGACTTAGATTATTATGAAAACCTTCAGGAAAACAAGCCCTTTCTTACTCTGTGTAGGATCCAGTGAAGATGCAGGAATTCCAAGCCTTTTAACGTTTGGATCATATACGCTTTGATGTTGGAGGGTGTGAGGATGATGTTGTCTGTGTCCTTGATGATCACCTGGTGGTAGACAGATTCATCAATCAATTAATAAAAGGTTTATAAACAGAGTAAAGGAATAATTCTGGGTACATTTCATAGCTTACTTTGAAGATCAATGATTGTTCTGAAGAACAAGACCGATAATAATAATAACGACAATTATACTACTCATAATAATAATGAGGCTAAACAAGTCAATATAAATTACAATAAAAATGACCATTAAAATTATTAAACAAAATTATTATTCATAATAATAATAAAAATATCTACAAATACACACCAGCCAGCAGCCTTAACCATACCCACCTCTAAATCTGTATCCATGAAATCAAACACCAGCGACACATTTGACTTGTAGCCAAAGACATCGAGGAGGCCAATGAGATTTGGGTGGTGTACCTCCTGCAAGAGCTTGATCTCTCGGAGGGCCGTACGGTTGATGCCATCCCTTGCCTCTTCTCTACTACCTAGCTTGATCTAAAGGACCCATTTAAAGAGTATGGAATAATCATTAAAAGAGGTCTATGGAGATGAATAGAAATAAAGGTAAAATAAAATTGCTAAAATAAATCAACTTACCGTAGTTCTTTGATCACTGCACACATATATCTTATATAACATCTTACTTAGTTACTATTTCACTTGAAGGGAATTTTTTAATGTAATCAATACTTTTGCTTTTAGGTTGAGATATTTTCTTAACCCTTCCCACTAGTGACAGCTATACATATCAATTCCAGGAACAGCAAAGGCATATCACCTTACTCCAGGTGAAATCTTGACATATATAAAGACTACCTTATATCAAGTTGTTAAGGTATCTTGAAGTCAGTTACAACAACCTATTCTCAACTTCGGATAATGGGCTACCAGTTATATCCCTGACCCAAAATCAAGGAAGAAGCACTTATATTTCTAACCAAAGTTACACTCATTTCTGTTTGATCCAAACCTAAATAATAACAATTAAAAAAAATAATAATAATAATGGGCATATAAGATAAGGAAAATCAAACAACTACCATTAAAGGAGAAAGTGTATAATAAGCATGGTACATACCTTTTTGACAGCTACTATCTGCTTGGTCTCTACATCAAGAGCCTTATAGACAGTGGCAAACTGTAGAGAAAAACACAAGAATTTTATAACAAAAGCCGGCAATATCTTATATTTAAATAATAAAACAATAATATCAATCAGCTAACATCACGACCACGACAAGAAAGATCTTGGACTGGCTCCTAATTATGCAAAACCTTAAGTGCGTCATAATATGCATATAAGCAATTTAATACGAACTCTAATTATGTAATTAACAATTAAATCAACGGAATAATAAAACTTTTTTAAACCATACGAGAAAAATGTCAAAACGTGTGTAACAGGTATGGCGTCAAGTAATCAAGTTCCTCACGTATCTTTAACCCCTAAAACACGAGGAAAATCACCTGTCCTTCTCCCAAGAAATCGATCTTCTCATATCTCTTCAATTTCTCTTCTATTCTGATCCTTCCTTTCTTCTCTTGTTCCGCTTCCATCGCGTCTTCTTCTTCTTCTTCTTCTTCTTTTATAGGGTTTTAGACTTTTGAAGTCTATATTCCCTGGAGCTGTATTTCTTGGTTCTTCTTTGTTGATTGAAGTTCTTTATATTATATCTATTATTTTTGATCTTTGTAGGAAGATCTTGAAGTGTCTTAATATATAGTATTTCTTAGCTGGTGAATAATCTGCGCCTGTTATTAAAAGAGACATATTTGGATTAATTATTTTTATTCTTTTTAAAGATTCAAATAGTTTTTTTCGGTGAGAATTGAATCTTGGGCATTGGAGTGTTAAGTGTTCTATGGTTTCTTCTTCATGTTGGCACCATCTGCATGTTGGGTCTGTCTCCATTTTTATTTTATGTAGATGTTGTTTTAGTCTTGTGTGTTTTGTTTTTATACGTGCTAAACAAACATCTAGTTTTCTGTTTTTTGATCTTGTCCAATGATTAGTTTTGTTATCTTTGATGTAATAGTTTTTTGTGTTTAATATTTCTGTTAGTTTTTTTTCCCATGTTTGTCTGTTTTTGTTTTTTATTTCTTTTATTATATTATTAATGTCTTTTGTTATGGCAATAGGATTTGTTATTTCATGTGCTTTTTTTGCTGCTTGATCTACTATTTCATTGCCGCTAATGCCTTTGTGTGATGGGATCCATTGTATTTTGATGTTCTGTTTCTGTTTTGATAATGTGTGTATTGTTTGTTGTATTTCGTAAGTGATATGTTTGTGATTTTTGGGTCTGTGATTTAATATCAATTGTAATGCTGAATGTGAATCTGTAAAGATTACCGAGTTTGATATTTTATTGTTTTGAATATATTGCAGTCCCTGTTTTATTGCAAATAACTCTGCTTCAGTGATATTTATATTTTTTGTTAGCTTCCAGATTGTAGTAATATTTGCATTTTGAACATATATTGCTGCTGAAACTGATTCTGGTTCCTTTACTTTTGAGCCATCTGTGAAGATTTTTTGCTGTTCTCTATATTTTATATTTTCTAACATTAGAAATTGTTTTTTAATTATTTGTTCTGGTAGGTCTTTTGATTTGTTATTTATGAATTGAGTTTCTACATGTTGTGAGATATCATACCATGGTGGTACTGGGGTTATATTTTGTACTATTTTAGTAGTTATATTAAGTCTTAATTCTTTACAGGTTTCTAATGCCCTGTAAATTAACAATCTTTTATCTTTCCTTGGATTATATTCATTGATATTCTTTAATACTATTTGTTTTAATGGTGTTTTATTTGGTTTTTCTAGTATTTTTACTAGTTGTATACATTCTATTTCTTTTTTTCTTATTTCTATTGGAATTATGTTTGTTAATGCCTGAAGAGATATTATTGGGGTGGATCTAAAACAACCCGTTGCTATCCTTAATGCGAAATTTTGTACAGTTTCTAGTTTTTTTAATTCTGTGTTTTTTGCATTTCCATAAATGGATAATCCGTATTCTATCTTAGGTTTGATGTATATATTGTAGAATTTTATTAGTGTTTCTTTATTAGCACCCCATGTGTATGAGGATAGTTTTTTCATAATATCTATTCTTTTTGAAGATTTTATCTTTATATTTTCAATGTGTTCTCTCCAATTTAATCTTGGTGCATCGAATCTCAATCCTAAGATGTCATGTTTGTTTGTAAATTCCATTTCTTCGTCATCTATTTTTATATTAGGTATATTTCTTATTTTTCTATGTGTAAAACACATTATTTTGCTTTTTGTTAAATTTATCTTTAAATCCCATGTGGTAGCCCATTCTTTAAGATGTTTTAGTGCTCTTTCTAGAGTATTTGTTGACCCTGTCAGATCTTTATTTGTTGTTATTAATGTTATATCATCTGCATATATTACTTTATTTATGGTTCCTGGAAGTTTTAAATCTGTTATCATTATATTAAATAATATCGGACTTATTGGAGATCCCTGAGGTACCCCACTTGACATTTTTCCTTTTTTAGATATTTCATCTCCTATTTTTATTTGGAATGTTCTCTCTTTAAGGAAATTGTAAGTCCAATTTAATGACTTTCCTGTAATTCCTATATTTAACATTTTTGTTAGTAAAGCATCGTGGTTTACTGTATCGAAAGCTTTTTCCAAATCTATACAGGCTAGTAATGCATATTTTTTCTCTTTAATTGCGTTGTTTAAGTGTGCGTCTATTACTTGTAGAGCATCTATTGTACTTTTATTGGGTCTGAAGCCTGTAAGGTCTTCATCTAATTTGTTGTTTATTTCTAACCACCAATTAATTCTTTTTGTTATTATATTTTCGAAAATTTTTCCCAGGGTTGTGATTCTACTAATAAATCTGTAAGATTTTGTTTCTGATGGATTTTTGCCTGGTTTATTAATTGGATTTATTATGACATTTTTGAATTCCTGTGGGTATTCTCCTTTATTCCAGTAATGGTTTATTTCTTTTAATATTTTCTGTGTTATTTTTTGTGGAGCATATTTATAAAATTCGTAAGGAATTTCGTCTGGGCCATATGCTTTATTTCTTTTACTATTTCTTATTGCTGAAGTTAATTCATTAATTTTTATTTCTTTATTTAGATCCATATTATTTGGGAGCTTTAATATTCTCTCTCTCTCTTCATCTGTCAGTATTATCTTGGGGGTCTTATTTACTGTATTTTCGTATTCTTTTTTGAATAGTTCTAGTTTTTTCGGCATTTCCGATACTGGGAGGTTATTCTCTATTAATGGAAATTTTGTTATGATTGTTTTACCTGTTATTTTTTTAAAGAAATTCCATATTTTTTTTTGAGGAGTTTTGAAATCTAATGTGCTACAAAAATTTTCCCATGATTCTCTTTTCTCTCTTTCTATTATTTGTCTTGTTTTTATTACTAATATTTTATAATCTGTTTGATTTTCTTTATTCGGTTTCTTCCTCCATTTATTAAAAGCTCTATTTCTAAGTTTTATTATTTCATTGCATCTTTCATTCCACCATGGTTTATTCGCTTTGTTTTTATTGATATTCTTATCAAATTTAAAACATTGTACTCCTGTTTTTCTTAAAAGATCTATGATTTCTTTTAGAGACTTTACATTTTCTGTATCTTTGTCTGTCAAAATCCTCTGAAATTTATCCCAACCCTCTTCTGTGTAAATCCATTTTTTTTCTTTGAAATGAGTATCTTTCATTAATTTATTATCTTTTATAATTATTGGAAGGTGGTCACTTCCTAGATTAGGGCCTGTTTCTATTTCTAAGTGGGTTAGCGATGGTGTTGCTAATACCAGGTCTATAGT